GATCAAATATCCACTTATTCCAACATAATAGTTGTCTTCAATTATTGTTTCTTATAAGAAATGGATGTGTAAGTTCGCGACTGCATTACCATTACAACGCACTGAATGACATGGACATTTGAAACAATCGACTGTCGTATTCGCACTGTTTCAGTTCACTGTAGAAAACTAAGACTAAACTTTTTTGTAAGAGGACAATATAATTTAAATATTTAAAAAAACCATATCGTTAATAAAAATCAGAATGATGCTTGAATCAAAAGTTCGTCCTTGCATTAAAGATTGAAGAAAATAAATCGGGTGTGGCGTTCCTAAATATTTATAGGCTAAACCTTATTTATTGATGAAGCAATTAATGTTTTAATCGTAAAATATAACGATACCGCAATCAAAAATTGAAGTAGTTCAATAAAAAAATATAATCGACGATCGCGACTCTACAAAAAAACATGGGAATACCAGAAGATTTTTTAAAGTAAATTTATTAGGCAAGCGTACATCTGAACTAGATGTTTTATTTAGTACCCAGCCTTACGATGACAACAACTGACAAGCAGTTCACCTGACGCTAATTGTCATTCAGGACGCATAATAAAAAAATTGTCAACTGTAATGACACGCTAAACAAATGAGTAAACGAATATTATATATATATATATATATCATGTGAATAAACTCTTTCTCGCAATCTAGCGATTAAGAGGAGCGTGTGATATCACCGGTCTCCGAATGCGTCGTATAAATAGGGCATGGCTTGAAATCTGTGTGGATGAAGCGATAATATTGAAAGTCTCGACGTAGTATATAATAGTAGTATATAATAAATAATACGGGTGATTAGGTTACTAATTAAAAAAAGGTAATAGTTTGATATGTCTGATAAATTCTGTGAAAAAAATATGTTTCTCGTGGGCTATGACATGTCCTTCTTTAAACGAGGCTTGCGAAGAGTACTCAACGGTGGGAAGCCTGCTGTGGTGGGTGCCCCTAGCATTACTGAAACACTATCAGGTGGATAGTGTGCTCATCTGCCAACAGAGGCTTATAAAAACTTCCTAAGCCTTCATGTTAATCAACCCGAGTGTTTCGAGTTCGGACTGCAGCGATTTTGTAACGAGCACTAACAAAGCAATAAAACTTTATGACTGCAGTCACGAAAACACGTAAGCACCAATTATAATAAGGGTACGGTAGTAGGAAGTACGTGTTACCGTTAGATGACCCTTGAATGTTCGGAATCGGGTAACACCGAATCAATCAGGCCTCATACCATGAGCTATCAGAATATTTATAAACGATTCAATCTTTTGCGGATTTTACTCATTAATCTATACTAATATTATAAAGAGGAAACATTTGTTTGTTTGTTTGTATTGAATAGGCTCCGAAACTACTGAACCGATTTGAAAAATTATTTCACTGTTTGGAAGCTACACTATTCCCGAGTGACATAGGCTATAATCTTTATTGAAAAAAATTAGAGATCCTTACTAAAACTCCAATAATGTAACCCAAGATTTAAAAAAATTACCTATAAAATTCTTTACATCGCGTGCCCTGCGAAAACTATTGATGATAGAATAAAATAATGTACTACGACTTTGTAAAACACATTAATTATCATTTACAAAAAGTGTCGCGACAGCATAATATGTCTAACTATTATAGTTATGCAGCAATAGGTGATATTTTAGTTTAAAAAATAAAACAACGTCAAATATCGTTGAAATTTTTGTTAAAGATCCGAGTGGATCCGGAGCGGGCCGCTAGTAAGCTATATGGTTGGTTGTCTTGAGAGACGTTTCAAATCTCCAATTAGCAACCGAGCTGTCGGCTCAGTAGCTTAGGAACCTGATTGTGCAAGAATATTTAGTTTGCCATCAAATTACCCTGTAAGATTGGTCCTCGATAACTTCTTTGTTTAACGCATATTTTCATTCGGGTTGAAAAAAAGAGCACATTGACCAGCTAAACGCCCGATAAGTATTTGCGTCATATTTTCATTGTTTTTCTGTTTCATTTTTTATATCATGAAAAGAATGTGAGATTAAAACATTTTCACAAAAAGCACGCGTCGCGTCTGTCAATAGCACTGTTACACGACTCTGCCATGCGTCTTATCTAATCCAGGCATGAATTTTTACAATGTTTAACTGGACCTAAATTAATTTAAAATGCTTCAAGAACAAAGTTGTATTGCGAGCGACGAACGTTGAATCGACGTCATCAGCGCCATGTGTTTCGATATTGTTTTATTATTATTTATTTCTCACGAACTTTTTACTCGGTTTTAGAGGATGTTGTTTGTATTTAGATATTTTCAACCGATTAAGCAGATTAGACTTCAAGTTGCCATCTACTTTGATGACAATAGACACGAGTTTCTTCTCAAACAAACCGAAAGATGCTTTCCAAAGTGTGATTCTTTCTCTTTACTTTGCAACAAATTAGGTAAGTTTTTTTGATATTGCGTAGATACCGGATCCTATGGACATCACTACGTGAATACCACCACCCACCTTGAGACAAGAGGTATAACGGCTGTCGAACCCACGAAACTGGAACGCATGAGTCCATCAGAGCAGATTTGGCTGAGTGGTGGTACCTAACCGTGTGAGCTCATATGCCGCCTACTACGAGTATCAATAGATTCATTCAAAAGCTTTTTTCATTGCATATACGAGTACTATACTCTATTCCAATTCCGAACTCCTATCAGACAGATGTTATTATTATGTTATTGTGTGTGTGAATTAATTTTGTATAATGATTTAGATTGATTGTGTATTTTTTAAATGATGTTTAGGATGATGACCAAAAAATGATTATTATTTCAAATTATGCATCATAACGTGAAGAGATACGGTTTATGAAGTGTTAAAAGGGACTTCGTAATTTGGAATAGAGTATAGGGATTGTTTTCGATAGCCTTAAATAAAAATACAAGTTTAAAAAATAAATTATTTCCAGTTTTCAAGGCAACGTGTATTTAAATGCAAATCACTATAAAAAATCCGATTAGAATAATTCAAACCATGGCTGAGCATTGTGTAACATGGACTTATTTTTTCCGAGACGCAGGTGAATATTTAATTAATAGCTTTAAAACTTCCCACGGCACCTCCGAACGTACCTTTCTATTTAATTATGTTTAATATCGTATTCGTTCATGTTCTTTTTAATACGAACCAAACAATGGACGGCATTCAAATGCTTCCGGGAATTAAATCATGAAAAACAATATCGAATGAAATTTTATCGAGTATTTTTCGTAAGCATTGACATCTGTTCATCTGTTTGCGACAAAAACAAGCTTTGGGTCGTGATATATGCACACAAATTATAGAGCTGGTCTTCATATATTTAATTGAAGTTTAAAACGAAAATTATATTCAAAACCTCGAGCACGATTGCAAGCCATTTTATAACAAAGCCTAGATTAAAATCGAGAGTATATATAGGACACAAATTATGTCATTGTGTACGCGATAGAGAACCTTTTCTCAGCTAGCGTGACTGATTTTGTTTTAGGGCGTATCTTCAATTCAATTAACATTATTAAAGTAAAATATTGTGCAAAAGTTGTGTGTGTTTATTAATTAACAGTGACAACTCAGTATATATACTGTTATAAAGATCGCTAACAAGTCCGGTCACCGTCCTTGTCGAACCCGTCGCTTGCGACGAAGGGCTCGACGAGCGAATTGACCCACAGACACAGCCCACTGAGTTTCTCGCCAGATCTTCTCAGTGGGTCGCGTTTTCGATCCGGTGGTAGATTCTGCGAAGCACTGCTCTTGGTAGGGTCAGTGTTAGCAACTCTCCGGTTTGAGCCCCGTGAGCTCACCTACAAAGGTTAGGGTGAAGCTGAAATAGCCTCTCAAGGCTATCAGCATAGGTAGGATAAAAAAAAAAGCTAACAAGAAAATGCTTAGTAAAAAGTTCAAAAGAAACTGTTGTATCATCTCCAATGCATATCACTGATCTGTTGACACATTGTTTCTTTTCAAATGTGTTGCGACATAATCTAAACCGTTTTAATTGCGTTTAATTATGAGAATCTTTCTCACACTCATCAGTATGTCGCGTCTTAATCACAGAGTAGCAAGAGAGAGCAATAAACTTTACATTTAAGAATGAATACGTTCTCCAAGGCATAAACTTTAATTTGACTGCATTATTTGTTAGGTGTGTGTTAACTCAGAACACTTTTCCAGGTGAACCGTTTTTTGATTATACTTTTTACAATAAATATGCAAGGGTTTCTCATGTAGTCTTACCTTACCATCTTACCAGTAGTTTTTGAATTATTATAGTATGTATATTATTAATAATGTATTTTTAAATGACTTCGACCAAATTGATGATATTCCCATTTTAATGGATTTTTTTTTGTTTTAGACCTTTTTTTGTATTTATCTATATATATAAAAATGAATTGCTGTTCGTTAGTCTCACTAAAACTCGAGAATGGCTGGGCCGATTTGGCTAATTTTGGTCTTGAATTATTTGTCGAAGTCCAGAGAAGGTTTAAAAGGTAGATAAACATGAATATGCTCGGAATTAAATAAAAATAACGATTTCGTTTTTCCTTAGATGTGTGGATTGCTTTTGTTTGTTTTAAGTTTATTTTATACAAAAGTTTAGGTCTTTTATTTATTGATTGTGACACTACGAAGTCTGCCGGGTCAGCTAGTAATTTTATATTTTTATAATATCCTGCTAACCTGTCGTGACGAATTACATACAAGAGAATGATCGGTTATAGATTATAGCCTTTCTTAAGCTTACCCTATTAAGAGGAAAACGTGCAATATCGCTGATGCATGCGTCGACGCTACAGCGGACTATGATCAATGACGTGTGCGTCGTGCGGAGCACATACCGTAGTATTTGTAAAATTTGTAAATTTTTATGGACTTAATTATTATATCTAGAAGGTAGTGCCGTACTCAATATCTAGAACGTAGTGACGTACTCAAATAATACGAATGACTTACCGATACTTTACTGTAGTCGTGATGATGAGCTAGATGCAAGGGCGCACAGCTAGATGCTGCACTGGACACGCTCAGCGCATCGCCCTCGCTGGTACCCTCCGTTTCGTCCCACCGGCGGCGCCCCGACCCGCTGCGAACAGCCCCGACCGAACCCCGCTCAAGCGAAGCCGAACAAAGCGACACATCCCCGTCGGTCCTCGGAATACCGCTATCTTGCCTCTCGTCTTCCCAACTCGACGACAAACTCTCCGACCCAACACTAATACCGCTTTCCATTTTAGATTCGAACAAATTCATCTCCTCAAATTGATCCTCCTCGATAACGTCGGATCTGGTGCTGCCACCGAACCTGAACGAATTACTGTGAACCCACGGTCTTTTTGTGGTACTGACGTCAGATTTCACGGTGTCAGCATCAGAGCTTTCGTCATCATCGGAGTGCAAGGTCCCGTCGGAGTCATCAGATGACTCTTCGCGGCACGTTTTGAAGGACGCGTCCGATCTCACGGTAGCGTCTGAATTACAAGTTCGGAGTGACCAGTTACCAGAGTATTCCGAGGAGGTCGATTTACGCACAGGCAAATGCACAGAATTGTAAGCACAAGACGGACTGTCAGATGTCAATGTTGAATTTTGCGATATAACTTCAGAGATATCTTTCAAAGAATACGGTCTATCTGAAGTCGACGACAACGTCGATGCCTGAGATGACGCATTCGATTTACTACTAGATGTTTGTTCTAATTTTTTTTGGGCACTATTACCGTCCACTTCGACAACAGCGTACGGTTCTTCGAGGTTCCGCGGCACGGATTTGTTTTTCGGTAAGTTACTTAAACCAGCTGTCGAATAAGGAGAATCATCTAAAGTAATATCAGGAGTTGATATACTTTTCTTCATAACAGAAAATTTCACAATGAAATCCGTGGGCGACTCACGATGTTTACAATGAAGGGTGCAGGCACCGGAATCACAAAAGCATTGAAACGACGAAGATGATATTTCGCTTTTTTTCACTAGACCTTCGAAATCTATCAAAGTTATTTTATCTTCTTTTTCTTGGAATGATAGATCTAAAAGATTTTCGGCGCTGCTGTATGTTTTTAACGGTTTGGGCTTACAAAAACAAATCGCCGTCTCATAGTAACTGTCTCTTTTGTTTTTTGTCAAAGACTCTGCTTTGCTATTAAGGGTTTCTCTATTAAATATGTAAAGGAATTCTTCAACAGTTGGGGCTTTAAATAAACAATGACCAGTGCCACGAATGTGGTAGTGAGCTAAAGTTTCTTTCAAAAACTCCTTATTCCATTGTGGTAAATCTTTGATTTTTGTGGAATTCCTATCTACCTCAATATTTGTGAACGTTTTATGTCTAAAGAGAATCTTTTTCTTAATACTTTCTGCTTTTTTAGTCGGTAACGTACCAGTCATAGACAATTGTAACAGCTTTTCAGCTTCACCACTGCAATCGACATTTTCTATGGCACTAGCCTCCGTTGCGTCAGACGAATCCGAAGAACATGACGATGTTCTACAAATCCTAGTTTTTATAGAATCTTTACTGAACGACGTGACTTTTCCGTGACGAAAAGATTTTGATTTCTGTGAAAGGAGTATGTCCTCTAGATTCGTCTCATCAATCATTGAATCAGATGACATAGTTGAAGAACGACTCAAGCTCCGTGAAGGCGCTTTTTCATTGTTATCTAAGAACTGAAATGGTAATACGGTTCTTTTAGGTGGATCAGGCTTTATTTTAGTTAATATTGCTATATTTTCGTATAACACTTGATTATCCTCTACGTTTGCCTTAGTTACGGGAACATTAGTTCTAGTTGCAGGTTTTGGTATAGTTTGATTTTGAATTAATAAGTTTTCATAAATAATACCCTGCTTAGGTTTAAGCGTATTTGCTCTTGATAGGATGGCATTGGGTCTGGGGGCAGGAACCGGAGCAGGTCTATTAATATCTTCTTCTTCGTCGGACTTAGAAAATTCATATGGTTCATAACATTCATTTACAATTGTAGTTGATTCTCCGGATATAACAGATATTCTATTTCTTGGCTCAAAAATATTATAATTAATAGCTTCTGTCACAGTACTGTTTCCATCTTTACGACTCGATTCATTAGAATCTTTATTATTGTTCACAGATTCAGTTGAACCACTGAGTTCATTATTTTCAGATATATTAGGCAATGAATTTTTAAATCCAGGACAACTTCTATTACTCCTATTCAGATCAGAATCTCTGTTCAAGGTGCCTAATCTGTCTAAAGATATAGTATCGAATTCATGATTACATAAAATTTCTCCAGAATCCTCCTTTTTCGACAGCGATTTGAAAAATTTACTTTTACCTATATGTAAAGTAGTTGTAATATTTTTACTGTCTGTGCGCTTGGATTTATCATTGACATCTGACTCCAAAATAGAACTGTTAGAAATGTTAGGAGCAGAATTGAATTTCGCCTTAATACCCAAGCATTTCGAAGCAAGCTTTTGTACAAAACTTTGCTGATGATTTTTAGTTAAGGAAGAAGATGATGGTGATAACAAGCAATGGTTTTTAGTATTTTGCTGGAACTCTGGAGCTTTCCTGAAAAGACATAAAGCGGAAAACAAAAAATAAGTCTTAAAACAAAAATAAAAATAATAAAATCATAACGCACGTGATGATTATTGATTAGTAAATAATTAGTAATGATGGAACATGGAAAAATATCACGACCACGCAAAAACTAGTTTCTATGTTATCTATTATCTTATGTTTATTTATTTCCTAAAAAAAATATGACTATTTTGGAAACAAAATCACCAATCAGTCACTACTTGTTTTAGTTGCTGGAACTTTTTTTGCCAAATGCTCATTTTCGCTGTGGCTGAAATCGATACACTGTCAACAGCGTCTTCGGCACTAATATTTTCGCAACTAAAATAAACCCCGTCACTTGAATGAGACGCATTCAGGTCTTCGTGACATTCGCAATAATTATTTGTGATGGTTTTGTCTTTCTTTCTAATAAACGGATAAGCATCGCTATGGAACGTCTCAGTATTCATTTCATATATATATTCGCTTTCTTTAATCATTAAGCAACCGGGATCACCTATACGATGACGGCTATTGCTACCATAGCAGAACGGAACGCGACGGGTATCATTTTCAAATAGCACAATCTCCCCCTTTTCATTTGAAAAAGCATTAAGATCATTAATTTCGTTTACTTCGCAACCAATATATTCTACCGTATTATTATTTTCAGACTTAGCCGAATGTCCCATGTCTAGATATAAATTTGAAATTCTTTGATCATCTGGATGGTTTGTGGCAGCTTTAGTATTGTTAGTGCTATTAAAATTTTCGTATAATGGGTTCGCGTCTGGATAATCTACAGCATCTTCATTCGGGTAGTTAGCATGATTTGTTTGTAAATCATCAACATTCATATACGGACGATACAAATTATCCATTTGGATATTTATATTCTTGGAATACAATATTTTCGAGTTACTATTCTCGCCGTTATTTACATTGTTGCGAATCCTACACCTCTGATTTAATTCTGAGAGCAAACTTTTAATATTTTTCTCCTTGATATTTGCATCAAATTTTTCGTCAATCGGAGAAACTAAGTTACAACTGCGCGTGGGCGTCGACATTTTTTGTTCGTATTTTACACTTGTGACATTATTATTAACACGTGGGTCATTAATTATATTAGTACTCAAAGCGTTGTCTTTATTGCACAAAGCAGTTGTTACAGTTTTAAGCGAAGACCGATACCTGGAATCATTAAATGATTTTACAGAAATTATTCTATATATAATTTAAACTTTAAACATCTCTTATCATGCTACTTTCTATTGAAATATAGACACGCAATCATTTCAGTTTTATCAAATTAAATAAAAATTGCTCGGGCCGTGCGGTCTTTTTACATATTTTCAAAGACACGATAGTAAGAGGGGGAATCTTTTTCTCGCGTTACGAGAAACATCTCAACTTGAACTCCACTAGACAAAATCAGAGAAACGGAACATTTTAATGAGGCAGCGACTGCCGAGTTTTTGTTTACAGCGCAATCTGTTTAAGAAAAACGCGTTTAGCATATTTATGACAGGTACAGTAATTCATTTGCTTTGGAAAAAAAAACCTATTCAAATTTGTTATCATCAATTCCATTATGTTCTAAATAGACGATAACCATAAAAAAACAATATTCACAGCAAACAAAATTGAACAAAAATTTTATAAACGAAAAATAAAAGCTGGCGAAACAATTACAGAAATTTAAAATAAACCAAAAAGCGTGTTCGCAGATAGTAATCAAGATTTCAAAGGAGACACGTCGCGTATAATGTTGAGGGGCACTCCAATTAAAAGGGAGCGTTTAGGAACTCCTTCGACGAGGACCCACGAGTAATTAAAGGATTTCCTTTGCGAAATGTTCTTCTACACCGCATGCTCAAGTGATGTGCGGATAATGAATGTGCTCGCTATTGTGGTTAGGAAACAGCCAAACAGTAATATACTGAGACAAAACAACCGAAGAAAAAAACATCCACTACGTAAACGTGCTTTTCAAACACAAACCACGGGACATTTAAATTTTTACAATGTAGATTAATAAATAACTATGTATTTGCTAATATAGTTCGGAATCTTTCTCAATTTGAGAACTTTGAATATCGAAAATTGTCCGGTCCAGTTCATAATCCATTTCATTATTTATGGTCTCTTTTAGAGAGTAGAAACGCTCTAAAATTCTATAAGCTGAGATGTGGTGGTGCGGTGATTAGCACCCCTAAATGATATCGATCCCATTGCGGAAAAAACATTTGTATGATGAATAAGTTTGTCTTCTCCTTTTTTATTATATATGTGTGTGTTTATATTTATTTACACTTATATAAGTATGAATATCAGGCTCTTGTTCCCGTAGTATAAAGAATCCTAGTTCGGAGTCAAACAACCGTGTGTCTTTCCTTCGGTTTGTTTTACTATTATTAGTACAACACACAACAGCTGTTTTTTTTCTAATTTAAAACAGATATCAAAGAATAAAATAATAAAAACAGATATGAAAAATCCTAACTACGTTAAATTGTTATTTCAATTAGAAACGACACAGAAAAATTTATCGACAAAAACATTTTGCTAAATAAGCTTGAATTCATGACAATTCAATTGTGAATTAAAGTTACGAAATGGTTTCCTGTACAAATTTGATTACAGATCTGAAGCACTAAAATCCGCAAAGGAATCGAAAAATAAATCAATCGGTAAACAAATTAGAATCATGCATTTTGAAAATACATATTTCTTTCACCAATAATACGTATTATACAGCTGAATTTAGATTATAAAATCGGTTGCGCCCGTGGTTCGTGTAAATATGAAACAATTTCAGTATACAGATATAAATTATAAAATAAATAATAATAAATTAAATAATATTAACCCTGTGAATCCAATTAGTATCAACGCATTGTTTGTAATTTTTTGCTAACGTCTGCAATTACGAGACAAAGGTACTCGCATGGTGAATCGACCCCAGATAATTATTTAAGCGCGACTTACTGTGACATTTTAACACTAATAAAATACGCAATAAACATATTGCAAACGCTATAAACATGTGTAAATTTTTTTTTATTTTCTTTAACGCATTTTGTTATAGGGATATTTATCTAAGGTATGAAAAAAGTTATTACGTCATTGTACCAAAATCGACTAACCGTTCAAATTAGAAAATTAAAGAATAAAAAATCAGTCTTTTTATAAAGCTTGTGAGAAATTACGACTCCAAATTTTTTCTAAGGGCTATTTTTAGTTCCCAGGCTTTAATTACAATTTTTTTGGATGAACCGAATCAGTCTATCCTGTGAAAAAATATTTAATTTTTTTACATAGCTCTCTTCTTTTCTCGAAAACCAATAGAGATCTGTAACTTTCTGGATCTTATTAGTTCCTACATATCCTTTTACTTTTTAACCGACTTCAAAAAAGGAGGAGGTTCTCAATTCGACTGTATGTTTTTTTAATGTTTGTTACCTCATAACTTTTGACTGGGTGAATCGATTTTGATGATTCTTTTTTATTAGAAAGCTGACGCTTGCCGTGTGGTCCCATTTCAATTTAGTCCAGTTCTGATAATGGTATCCATGAGAAAACCAAATAAGTCTTAAATTTGCATTAAGTACGTGTGCGACAAATAGATGAATAACTCAATAACTCAATATCACGCCAACCGATTTATCCGATGATTATTGTTTTTAGTGTATATTAATTTGTTTTGGAATTTTTTTTTTTTTATTTGAAGTCGGTTTTTGTTAAAGCATGTCTATTTACAATTATCTTTGAATATATTCCGGGCGATTCACCATGTGCCCATAACTCTTGAGGCCGATACTATTTGTTTTCATGGTTACTGCATGCATCATCACATCCGTACAAGGGAATTAAGAAGTTACCATACTCGTAGTATTTGTTTGTTGAATGCAATTAACGTAATCTAGTGCAAGCTGTACGAGTATTGCTCGTAACGTTCGCAATGGCAACTATTAAAAAAAAAAAAACCATTGTCGATAATTTAGGAATCTAGTAAATAATTTTTAGCCAGCTCTACAAATACCACTACGGTAATTTTTTATTTAATTTTTTAAACTACATTAAAACGTTTACTACAAATAAGTAAAAAAAAACGTTTTTTTTATGTGTACTCTAATAAAAAAAATACAGATCAACCATTTTTTGGTGACATTGACAGACGTCAGATTTGACAGACGTCATTGAGAAAAATCAAGAATGTTTTAAGTAAAACCGATATAGGTTTATTTAAATGTTTGTATACTTACGTAGGGGTGGGACATTCGTGCACCGGAAACGGAGGTATGTCTTCGTCGCTTTCGTTTAATATGTCTTTTTCAAATTCTGTGAGAAAGAAAATGTATATGTGTGGTTATTCATTTTTGATGTGTGTGTGTGTATTGTAAAAGTAGTTAATGTATTCACATTAGAGCTGGCAGTAGGGTTTTTAACCCATAGACACGACCCACTGAGTTTCTCGTCGGATCTTCTCAGTGGGTCGCGTTTCCGATCCGGTGGTAGATTCTGCGAAGCACTGTTCTTGCTAGGGGCAGTGTTAGCAACACTCCGGTTTGAGCCCCGAGAGCTCATCTACACGTTAGGGTGAAGCAGAAATAGCTTCTCAAGGCTATCAACATAGGTAGGAAAAAAGGAAAAAAAGAGGGTTTTTTGGGTATTAGACCATAGTACTGCGATCGCCAACTGATATTTAACTGATGTCGTGGACCCTCAGGAGTAGATCTCCATATATGATAGATACTCTTAATACGATTCAGTTTGGGCTACGACTTCATGTCTTAAGATGGGTGGCGATATTCACGCTATCATATCTATGGGTTCCGATCCGAAGATTAGAACAGCCATGCGAACGGTACAAATACTTCAGCCCTGTATCCTCAAAATGAGGAACAGCATTCAAAATATACATATACTTAAGCTAATGAAAAATGCAAAGTTAATTTATTGTTGGTAGGAAGTCTCGTGAGTCCGCACGGGTAGGTACTACCACCCTGCCTATTTCTACCGTGAATCGTTAATGCGTTTCGGTTTGAAGAGCGGTGCAGGCGTTGTACTGTTTAAAGTGAGACCCTACAACTCATGTCTCAATGTGGATGGCGGCATTTACGTTGTAGATACTATGGGCTTCCTCAGGTCGGCCGTGAGCTCGTCTACCCACCTAAGCTAAATAAATAAATAATGCAGTTAAAATTTCCACTTACTTCTAATCACTTTCCTTACTTTCCTCGTGGCCTCTTCAGAGAGCAGAGACAACAGATCGTAGACCGTGTTGCCGCGGCGATCCTTGATGTTCAGGTCGGCTCCGTTCTTCAGGAGCACATGGACCACCGAGGCCCGGCCATAGCGCGCGGCCTCGTGAAGCGGGGTACCGTCGTACGTCCTGATGTTCAGGTCAACTCCGGCCTCTATCAGAGCCTCTACCACGTCTCTGACAAAGGAGGTGGACAATGAACGACTTTTGGGTTTTTGAAAATTATCTCTATTAGTATCAAGATCCTACAGAACTTTAGCACTGATAGCTTTGTTTATAAGGTGACTCGAAAATATCGAGTTACATTTTAAATAAATATATTTTGAGCAACCTGTTATAGCGGTATAAATTATGTTCTTTTTTTATATTTTAGAATTAATTTTACAGAACATAACGCAGGTCACATTCAATACCAGATCAAAATTACATTTCCCTACGAAAGTAAGAGGTATGTTTTTTATTTTTTTTATTGCTTAGATGGGTGGACGAGCTTACAGCCCCCCTGGTGTTAAGTGGTTACCGGAGCCCATAGACATCTACAACACGTAAATGCCGCCACCCACCTTTAGATATGAATTCTAAGGTCTCAGTATAGTTACATGTTCAATACAAGAAGAAGAAGTTCAATATAACTTGACGTTGGTACAAACTAAGGTAATCTGATGGGATTATCGGAATGCGTTTTCACGATGTTTTGCTATTGTAAAATTCAAGGCGCAGTTTCAAAGGTCGGTAACAATTCAACTCTACTAGATAATTTCGAGTGTAGCTCTCTGTATTTAATTTCGGTTATCGCAAGCCTTCGACATAATTTTAATTACTTTACAGTTAACTTCTACTAGAATATCTAGACTACGGTCGTCTGAGATCACAAATAATGTTAAGTCAGCAATTGAATCGAAAATAATAAAATTGAAATAAAAAACGTGAGATTAAGACGTATTAGAAGATTAATTTCTAATTCAATCAACTCAATAATATATAACAGCGCAACACAGCTATTTACGTGGCTAAGATTAGTTAAAGTTAGCTGTTATAAGTCTAGAGCTTGCAAGCAGATATTTAAGACAGTATTCAGGAGAATTTATGTACAAACTACCCCCGATGTTCTACTATAAGCTTTTGTCACATTTGTTTTTATTGCTGTATAGGCAGACGAGCATACGCCCCACCTGATGGTGAGTGGTTGCCGTCGCTGTTGGACGTCAGCAATGCCAGGAGCAGAGCCAAGCCGCTGCCTACCATAACGGCTAGATCAGCAGAACACGGTGAAATCACTATTGGCGCCGATCGCGGTATTATATACGTCGCAAGTGCTTCTCAACAAAGTGAAACGTCATTACGGATCCTCCCGATCCATTAACGGTGCTTTTAGGTACCGCAAGCACCGGTCACCGTCCTCGTCGAACCCGTCGCTTGCGACGAAGGGCTCCACGAACGAATTAACCCACAGACACAGCCCACTGAGTTTCTCGCCGGATCTTCTCAGTGGGTCGCGTTTCCGATCCGGTGGTAAGATTCTGCAAAGCACTGCTCTTGCTAGGACCAGTGTTAGCAACAACGTCAGTCTTGAGCCCCGTGAGCTCACCTAATCGCCCGGTGACGCTAATATGGTCTCTCAAGACTTCAGCTTAGGTAGGAAAAAAAAAGAGAACATAGTGCTAACAAAGAAATGGCTTTAATGCACTAATCGATCCCCTTTTCGAATTTTCATCGTAAATAACAGCAGTTCGAGTAACAACGGAAATATGCCTATATCTTCATTAAGCCAAATTAACGTAGACCTCAATATAGACAGCGGCGACCGTCTTCAGACGGCTCCGCTCAAACTAGGCCGTGGCGCGGAGCGATCGTCCGGTCGCGTCATTAATAAAATCTAAATTCGCAAACAAGGTTCAGTTAGTTAACTGTACATTGTATTGTTTGAATTTATTTAACGATAAACATCTGAAAATACAAATGATTCATTTACAATTTATCTTAGAAAAGGTATAAATTTGCGGCCTGGAGCTAAATTATCCCGAATACATTAAGTATATGATTTTTTTTTGTGTCAAAAATATTAGTTTATCAACATTCTTTCAAAAGTGACTATGTAACAAAACCAATGTGTATGGCGCGCTTTCGTGCAATTTTGTTATTGATGTCTCATTGTTCAAATGCATTTAATACTAAAAATAATGGTTAATGATATTGGTCCTATTAGCAGTGGGCCACAGAACTGATTGATTACTGGTGGCCAGGAGGTCTTTCTAGTTTCAGCAGGACAGGTGAGCGCGCACGGGCTCGGCCAGGTGGGATGGGATTTGCTACCAGAAATGTGAATGCAATGCAATCCCGCGTGTATATTTAACACACAGTCATACACATTTCAGCTTGTGCGATGGGGGAGCCGTCAAAAAATACAATTGAGTTTTTGACTTCATGATTCAAGATGGCTATCGGAATTTACGTTATGGCTTCGATAAAACACAAAAAAAATATGTCTTAGATTAACGATTATACAATATTTTGTAGAAGTCGGCAAAATTAGGACTACTGACTGATGCGTGCCCACAGTATAATAAATACCATTGGTTATCCTTTAACGAATTCGACATTCGAAAACAATAAAAAAGCGATCGAAATGATAAACAATGGCACCGGGAAAAGTGACGGTCTGTGAGCATGTGAGCGAGGCTCATTAATATTCATGACCGACGGATTACCAAACGTATCTTTTTTTTTAATTAGGTCTTACTCACTTGGGGCCATGGCAATCAAACGAAGGATTTGAAATGTAACTGCATACATAATACGTCATCCTTCACAATATCGATAGCAATATAGAGTATCAATACCAATATTACGATTTTTAATATCATTTGTCCTCATGTTGTGCTGTGACGAATTGTTTGAAATGATGTGGGACAGCTACCAGCCAGATGGACAGATACCTGCCAGATGGACCGACGACCTAGCTCAAATCGCTGGGTCACGTTGGATACAGGTGACAACGGACCGACCGCACTGGAGATCGATTTGAGGTCTATGTTCAGTAGTGGACAGCTATAGGCTGAGATGATTTTTGTTTGATATTCCTACAGACACAGTCCACTGAGTTACTCGCTGGATCTTCTCAGTGGGTCGCGTTTCCGATCCGGTAGTAGATTCCGCAAAGCACTGCCCTTGCTAGGATTAGTGTTAGCAACGTCGTCAGGTTTGGGCGCCGTGAGCTCACCTTCTTGTTAGATTAGCCTCTGAAGGCTATGAGCTTTGGTAGGAAAATCCCAAAAAAAATGATTGATAGAGAATTTAGGAATAGGGAATTATTATATTTAGGAATAGGGAATATTTCAAAATTCTACTTTCGCTAATACAGCTATCAAAGAAACACATAATAAATAAAAAAGTCTAATTACTCCAGCCTTACTCGGGATACCTTCATGCTTATAGCTAGCTTATTAGCGTTTCATTTATACATATCTATGTATATTATTATAACTGTTAAAACCTCTCTTGTTCGTGACAAAGACACAAGTCAACCAACACAGAGCGAGCATCACGCAAAGCACGCTACATAATATTTAAGCCTTCGACAATGTACGCGGATAATAATTGACACGACGACGCGTGTTGAACACGGAGATACATTTATTTGTTAGTGCGCTGGATGTGGTATTCTATTAATGATTTTCCCGTAATTCGTGCTATAACTATAACATGGGATGATCGTTTGATTTCTTTACAGCGAATTCGAAAACTATGATTTTTTAATCTGAAAATGATGCGGTTGTTTTGTTATTTTCATACATGCGCCGTACACGACTCGATAGCTAAGTACTTTTTTTTAAATCTTGTGTTGAGTGAACCATTGTGTCGAATAACATGAAACTATTCAGATGAATACGGAACCTAGCTCTCCTATTTCGTGCAGATAAATTTGCCAATACAGTGAGTAGATTTATCTCCTAGTTGATCGTGGCCTAAAGGATACAACTCCCGGTGTAATGTCGTATCGAGCGATGCTACTGTGTCGGTGTTCGAATACCGCAGGCAGGTACCAATTTTTCAAAAATCTATTTCAATTTTTATTTAATGCGCCGTCCTATTTCGCCCCTTTAATAAGGGGTCCGACGATGTTCTGGCCTAGGCGTACTTGTAATTCTTAATCCTAAATCACGGACGCCCGTTTAACGTAACCAAACCCAACAAAAATACCGTATCCAAGTCTGGAGACAATACAAATTCGTGGCTCTTCGTTACGTAAATTCATAGGCACGGAAATCTATCGATGCGTTATAACGAACAAACGAATATGAATATGATGTGATTGCCGAGCGTGTGCGAGATTTTATATTAGCATACATTTATAACGAATAAATAAGATTTGTGTGCTTAGTGCGAGTTTTTTAACGTTCTCGATCGTGTAAAAGTTAACTCAAATTTGTATGGAGTTGGAACAGCGCCCCTAGCGGCAAACGTAGGCAAAAGTTCCAACTCCATGCCACTTAGCACACAGAACACCCTACTAATCGTAGAGCATGATTGCAATCTTGATTGATGATCATGATGTATGCATGCATCTATAATGCATGATTCTATAATCACAGATTTCGCCAAGATTACACTTTAGACAAATATTAATAAATATAAACAATATTTAATCTATTCTCAATTTGACCACAGACTATAAGCAATAAGAAAAGTTTGACAATAAACAAATAGTATGCATGCGTGTGTGTGTCAAATACATGGTAGTGTGTGTGATGTTTTTTTTATTGATTTAATGTATTTTCTTATAATTATTTTTAAAAAATATCAACATTCTGCACTCCTTCTCTATATTCTCTATAAGTGTGGAATATTTCATACTCTTCCGTCCGCGCAATTTTCGTAAAAAGGGGTACAAAGTTTTTGCTTCACGTATTAATATATAGATACTAGCTTTTTCCCGCGACTTCGTCCGCGTGGAATAGTTCACAAATAATGCTTTATTTTAGAACAAATTTGGTTAGCATAAAAAACGTTATAGTGAGCCAAGCTTAANCTCTATATTCTCTATAAGTGTGGAATATTTCATACTCTTCCGTCCGCGCAATTTTCGTAAAAAGGGGTACAAAGTTTTTGCTTCACGTATTAATATATAGATACTAGCTTTTTCCCGCGACTTCGTCCGCGTGGAATAGTTCACAAATAATGCTTTATTTTAGAACAAATTTGGTTAGCATAAAAAACGTTATAGTGAGCCAAGCTTAACATATAGACATATGCTGTCGCGGACTTTTTTTTAGATATTTTAAAGTTTAAATGGGCTATCTAACACTGAAAGAATTTTTCAAATCGGAACAGTAGTTCCTGAGATTAGCGCGTTCAAACAAACAAACTCTTCAGCTTTATAATTTATTTATTTTTTCTACCTAAGCTGATAGCCTTGAGAGGCTATATCAGCGTCGCCTTAACTAGTAGGTGAGCTCACGGGGCTCAAACCTGATGACGTTGCTAACACTGACCCTAGCAAGAGCAGTGCTTCACAACATCTACCACCGGATCGGAAACGCGACCCACTGAGAAGATCCGGCGAGAAACTCAGTGGGCTGTGTCTGAGGGTTAATTTACTCGTCGAACCCTGCGACGGGTTCGACGAGAACGATGACCAGGCTTTATAATATTAGTATAGATAGATTAGTGTTTTAATGCTTATAATGACTTACTTCCGTCCGTGTTTGCTGGCGCGGTGCAGCGGCGTCGACGAGAACACTTGCGCCCTCCGACTGTGCCGATACTGATCTACGAGCTGAGGCCTAACCCGAAGCAGGTGTTTCACTGTCTCCAACCTGCCGCGATGATACGACGAATTATTATTTCGCATCTATTCCTCTTAGAAAAAAAAGAAGAGAAAGACTATGGGTAGTGCCACTGACTGGATGGTGTTATACAGTAGTAGTAACCGGAGGTGAAGACGCGCATTCTGATCGTCAGAATTGTGGATTCATTTATCGCTCCGACCTTACTTACCGTTATACCGCTAGTTTGGACTCTGAGCAAAACAATAATTAATATTATCAAAAAAAATCTGGTGGTAGGACGTCTTGTGAGTCCGCACGGGTAGGTACCACCACCCCGCCTATTTCTACTGTGAAGCAGCAATGCATTTCGGTTTGGAGGGTGAGGTAGCCGCTGTAACTATACTGAGACCTTAGAACTTATATCTCAAGGTGGGTGGAGCATTTACATTGTAGATGTCTATGGGCTCCAGTGACCACGTAACACCAGGTGGACTGTGAACTCGTCCACCCATCTAAGCAATAAAAAAATAAATAAAAAAATAGCAGTAACTGCATAAAGTTCAGCGAACACATAAAATGGGAACGAACAGACAAACAAAACCACGTATTGACCTCGGCAAACCAATCAAAACCTGTGCTACCGTTTTTTGTACATATTTATGCTTTGCTTGATTGGTTATTTTTGTTTCTTCAATTGTAAAAATAATTGTATCGTATATGTCATTTGTTGGAAGACCTAATTCGACATTTTGTCTATCACGATCACTTTTTTATATATATTTTTTCCTATATTAGCAGACGAGCATACAGCCCACCTGATCAAGTAATCCACCATTATAATATATATAATATATCGTATATGATACCGGCCTTAAACTAGATTGTTGATTGACAACAACAAAACATTAAATTTTACATGACGAACTAAAAGACGCATGTAAACTTCTATATTCATCGAGCAAACATCTTTAAGACAATGATTCATACCACGAAAATGGTTTAGATTTAGAAGGAAAAATAGTTCTTTGCACTTATTATAGTTCTTACTTACGTACTGCTGTGGCTTTAGAGGAAAAACATTGGTCAGTCGATCCGTTGAACATTCGACAAGATACCTTAAACAGCCAATGGCCTACAAAGAGTAGGTACCTAAAGATCTTAACGCTATTTTCTAACCTGCCATATTGAGCAGCGAGATCCAAGGCGTTCTCGTTACTGATATTCTTGACTGTGACGTCAGCGCCCTTCGCCATGAGCTGGGCCACAACGTCCACGTAGCCGAAGTGAGCGGCGATCAATAGGGCCGTCTCGTGGTCACATGTCTATTACATTATTATGATCAATATAATACAATAATGAAAAAAAGTTTTTTTTTTTATAAATTAAATCGCCGCTGGTGGTGGTGTCTACGTCACAAGCCACCAGCGGTTTAAGGCTCGAGAGTGAGTTATTATTATTAGCACCGAGTCCAACCATTAGCACCAAGCACGTCTGTTGAGTTTGAAAACATTTATATATCTCAGACAAGAACGAATGAAGAAATAATATATTCGCGGTAAAGATCATGTTGGGTGCGGGGTCACAAATCACCAATCAGTGCTTATGATAGAAAATAAAGAATCCCGGACTGATAAATTTTACCTGCTGCATCTGGTAAACAGCAATCAACAGCTGTGATCATGTAAGATCCACTGATCGAGGAGTCGGGAATCAGGTGCCCGCCCACATCCCCGAACAAACATTTACTACTACTGCGCTGGCGCTATGATCTCGAAGTGGGTCTTGGCCTCTGACAATAAGCGTCGTCATTCATTCTGGCGCTGCGCATTAAACCAGCGTTACTCGGCTTCCCTACGCGAATTAAAGCAGCGTTACGCGACCTCCCTACAGGGCTGCGTACCTCAGGTACACCCGCGTACACCCTTTTCACAGTCCAATCCTACTCCATACGTACTACATGCCCCAGCCATCCGATGCTCTGCGCCTTCATTTCCTCCAGAATATTTGGCTCACCAAAAAGCCTCTCCACATCCTTGTTTTTCCGGACGTGCAAAGAACCGTTATATTTCTAAACTTATCCTAGTACCTTCCTCAGACATAACAAACATCTGGACATACCATATTATTGTGGTACTTACTCAAGAATCATCTAACCTTATTCGCTATTTCGGTAAATAAAAGATACATAGTTTTTTTTTCTTTTTTTTTCCTACCTAAGCTGAGAGAGAGCCTTGAGAGGCTATTTCAGCGTAACCTTAACTAGTAAGTGAGCTCACGGGGCTCAAACCTGACGACGTTGCTAACACGAACGCTAGCAAGAACCATGCTTCGCAGAATCTTTTTTTTTTATTGCCCTTGTAGGCAGACGAGCATACGGCCTACCTGATGGTGAGTGGTTACCGTCGCCCATGGACTTCAGCAATACCAGGGGCAGAGCCAAGCCACTGCCTACAAAATCTACCACTGGATCGGAAACGCGACCCACTGAGAAGATCCGGCGTGAAACTCAGTGAGCTGTGTCTGAGGGTTTATTCATTTACGAACCTGTTGGTCTATATTGACGCGTGGATTCGAGTGAGCAAGCAGCATTCTGACGATTTCGGAATCACCCCTGAAAGCGGCCAGATGGAGAGGTGTGGCGCCCTTCTTGTCCGTTATGCAAGGCGAAGCGTCCAACGACAATAAGACGCGAACGATATCCCTGTGAACACCAATTTTTTGTAAACAAGGAGATGATACCTTCATCTCGTTTTTACCATCGCACCGCCCGCTACCGGAGTAGAGTTCATCCATACTACCTGGAGCCGCTCCGGTCATCCACAGTGCGTTTCCAAAGGTCTTTTTTTGCCACGTACCATCCGGCTATGGAATGAACCTCCACGGTGTTTCCCGAGCGCTATGACATGTCCTTCTTCAAACGAGGCTTGTGGAGAGTATTACGCGGTAGGCAGCGGCTTGGCTCTGCCCCTGGCATTGCTGAAGTCCATGGGCGACGGTAACCACTCACCATCAGGTGAGCCGTATGCTCGTCTGCCTACAAGGGCAAAAAAAACTGTATTTGTGTCGACTATGTTTGTGGTATTGGTGTATATTAGCACCGCCCCATCTTTTTTCCGTCGCTGCCGTAAAAGCGGCCAACAGATTTACCGGCAGCAGTGTTTTCGTAGAAGCTACAATCCTGCCTACATCTTCAGCGAGGCTGTCATAGATTCCGATCGGAACTATAAGAACCACTGTTACACTAAGGATGATGAAGTCAAGTTGGATAACAATATTCACTTTAAGATCGCTATGAGTTCCGGTATCCACTTAACAACATACCTAATCTTGTTCGACCTTCAAACCAATACAAAACAAAATTAAGTCTTCTTGACGGTGGGAATACCAACTTACCAATACAACACGATAATAAACAAGAAATAAAGGCTACTTTAAAAAAAAATCAAAATGGCGCAAAAAAGAATGAAATTCAAATTCAAATTAAATTCTACAATATTCGTAGAAGTTTATACGATACGCTTATGATTCGATGAAAATAAGTAATTTATATTTCAATAAACGAATAAAACAAAAACTTACTTGTGACCATTAAGACAGGCGTGATGTAGCGGTGTGTAACCGTTATCATCTTGTACATTTGGTCCTGGACCGCGTCTTAAACTGCAACAAAAGTACATTCATTGTGTCTTACAGCTACTATTACATTTCAATATGAACTCGTTGGCCTTATGATATCCATCACCAAAGTCGAAACACGTATTTGACCACCATTCGCAAACAAGTAACAATCTGAATGTTAAAGAGTATGCAAACTCTACGCTAATAAAATCCAACACAGTCCAAAAAATCGCTGTTTATAATTTACGGTGACAGCCGGACTATTTATTACCTTTATACTAGCGACTATATACATTTTTAAAATATACAAAAAAGCTCGCAGTCGGTAGGATTCGAACCTACGCTCCCAGAGGGAATCTGATTTCTAGTCAGACGCCTTAACCGCTCGGCCACGACTGCCACATAAGTATAGAACGAAATTGCACATGTGATTCTTGAAGCGAATAGACTTTTTATAATAACATTTATTTATGTGTATCTCAAAAAAATATAATCATACTTAATGAATCAATACATTTTAGCTACTATGTACGCAACAAAGATTACGAGTAACTATTATCACAATTTTTTGGGCCATCCTGTTTAATCATTTTTAAATCTGCTTTTTTTTTACATTATCTTCTCTAGTAATAACAATAACACTAAACGATTTGGCCAAGCTGAGTACACGATGCTACATAATTTTGTATTGATAATTACGAACACATTCCTTAACCAAGTCAGGAATGAACTCCCTTATTAATAACTACTTCACTTAGCAGATTGACTCCCAAAGCCGCAAAGGGTGAATTTTAATAAATATATAGTTTTTTCTTCGGCTTTGGCGAGTCGTAAAAATAATAAAAACTACATTTACAGTCATCCGTGACCACAAAAACCCGAAAGGTGTAGGTACCAACGTCGGAAATGAAATGACACGAGGAAATAACAATTATAAACATGAGATTTTAAAACGGAAAAGTAGTAATAATATTATTTATAAGTATTCGCTTTATTTTTAATCGTCAATCAGCCCACGTTACTTGCAAACCTACACAATAAAATCTAGTCATTACGTTAAACGACAATTTTCTCACATTACAGATACAGCCTTGACACAAACAGACAGGTCGACGAACTTTAGACCAATCTCACAGGCCCAGGTCGAACGAAAATCGCATGTTTCGTTCAAGAGTTACAGTTGTTTATTCTTTAAACAACAAAAAAAAAACTGTTAAGAATTGACAACACATCAGCTGTTTATACACGGAAGCCTTTCTAAAATTAATGTTCCTGTAGAGTGTGTAGAGATTATAAAGTTTACTTTATCTGCATTTTAATTTTATAATTTATACTGCTTTTTTTTTGGTAAGCCTTTATTGCTTGCTGATACTAAACAATGATATTGACATACAGTAGCAAATTGTTTTAACTTAAATCTAATACATCGGGTTTCCCGGTTCGGTGATCAGCGTGTCCTGTGACACATAGGCCTCTTCCATTCTTCTCTATTGGTAGCTTTTCTGGACCAGATTGTCCCTCCAATCATCTTGATATCATCCCGTTCACGTTAGTAGCATCTAATATTAATAGTAGTGGTAGTGTCGTTATCAAGTTATATTTCACGTCACGGCATCTTTCAAATTCATATTATTATGTATAATGTCAGACGAGTGAACGGAGCACTTGGTGATAAGCCATTGACGCAGCCCGGATTTTTTTTTTTATTATCCTCGAGATTACATTCTGAAAAAGTTCGCTTTATTTTTCGAATGATGTCGGAGCAGTTCGATATATTCAATTGAAAAATTTATGATATTCGATTTCGTCCTTCTCATGTCCGTTGTCTTTTCAATGACCAATTCCCAGTGTCTAGTTCAATGTTCAATTATCATACATGACCGTTGTTTAAATAACTAAACAAATACAAAAGCATCATAGGCGGGCATGAGCTTTATGTGCATCGAAAATGCATCTGTGTATAATATGAGAGGATAATCTATATATTAATACGTGAAGCAAAAACTTTGTACCCCTTTTTACGAAAATTGCGCGGACGGAGGAAAATGAAATTTCCCAATCTTATAGAGAACTAGCTGACCCGGCAAACATTGTTTTGCCATGTATAANACAAATACAAAAGCATCATAGGCGGGCATGAGCTTTATGTGCATCGAAAATGCATCTGTGTATAATATGAGAGGATAATCTATATATTAATACGTGAAGCAAAAACTTTGTACCCCTTTTTACGAAAATTGCGCGGACGGAGGAAAATGAAATTTCCCAATCTTATAGAGAACTAGCTGACCCGGCAAACATTGTTTTGCCATGTATAAGATTTCTAGGGAATTTCTAGTGTAGAAAAAAAAACTAACTTATTGTAAGTGTGTAAAGATGTGGTAAATGAGTGAAAGAGGTATGTAGTGCTGTGAACGATGAGGAAATATATAATAAAAATAACAAAACCTCATTCAACCACATAATACCTCGTTATAACAAAAAAAAAAGTCCAAATAAAAAAAAATGTTAGGGGTGGACAACCCTAATCACTTAGGGGGATGAAAAATAGATAGTAGCCGATTCTCAGGCTTACTGAATATGCATAAAAAATTTCATGAGAATCGGTCAAGTGGTTTCGGAGGAGTATGGGAACGAACATTGTGACACGAGAATTTTATATATTAGATATAGAGAAGGAGTGCACAATGCTAATATTTTTTTTAAACAATGCATGAAAGGTACATTAAATCAATAAAGAAAACATTACACACACTACACTATTTCACACACACGCATGCATACTATTTGTTTATTCTCAAATTTTTCTTATTGCATAAAGTCTATGGTCAAATTGAGAATATATTAAATATTGTTTGTCTTTGTTAATATTTGTCTAAAGTGTAGTCTTGGCGAGATCTGTGATTATAGAAGTATAATAAATAGTCTTTGGCAATAGAACTATAATAATGTTCAAACTTATAATTTCAATTAATTATAGTCGAATTTCGACTACTGCGGGACCACTAGTATGATAAGAATAGGCATAAAGCTATAAAGATTGCTTCTAAGCGAGCCACCTAACCTAAACATAGACCTAGGGATCAATCTAGGAAGCCAGCCCCGGACTGTTTGGAGCAAACCCTTAATGATGACATAACGTGGTGGAAACAAGAGATAGAACAAAATTAGAAAAGAATTATTTCGGAGTCCAACACCCATCAATTTTTTTTCTCTACCTATTCGCTGGTAGTCTAAGAGGCTATTGCAGCTACGTCCGGACGGGTAGGTGAGCTCACGGGCTCAACCTTAGAGAATTTGCTAACATCAGTACAGGCTCGCACGCTTAAAAGGAGACTCCAATCATTTTATTGTTTTGACTCGTTTATTAAAAATAAAGTATTTTGTATTTGTATTTTGTATTAGCACTAGCAAGAGTAGTGCTTCGCAGAATCTACCATCGGATCGTAATCGCGACCCACTGAGGAGATGCGGCAAGAAACTCAGTGGGCACCCATCAAAGTGAGCAGCGTCACGCACACGAAGTGAACAACGTAATAAATAAAACAATTTCCGAACACAAATAATTGTTTAAACTATGAAACGGTCGTTATAAGCACGACCGTTATTAGCAAACAAACAACAATGCGACGCGAAGTTAGTAAAAACGGTACTTTGCATAATCGAATGTACATATTCACACAGGTGCTTATTTTCATTCAGACGTTTTTTTATTACACATACTTTTCATTATTTTTTTTTATTGCTTAGATGGGTGGACGAGCTCACAGCCCACCTGGTGTTAAGTGGTTACTGGAGCCCAAAGACATCCACAACGTAAATGCATCCACAACGTTTCAAGTATAGTTACAACGGCTGCCCCACCCTTCAAACCGAAACGCATTACTGCTTCACGGCAGAAATGGGCAGGGTGGTGGTACCCACCCGTGCGGACTCACAAGAGGTCCTACCACCAGTACCATTTGTATTACGCTTGCTTTTATTCGTCTATACTAATATTGTATTATAAAGAGGAAAGATTTGGTTGTTTTTTTTTTGTATTGAATAGGCTCCGAAACTAGTGAATCGATTTGAAAAATTCTTTCACTGTTCGAAAGCTACACTATTCCCGAGAGACATAGGCTATAATATTTTTTGAAAAAAAAATTAGGGATCTTTACTAAAACTATAATAATGTAACCCAAGGTGTAAAAAAATTACCTAAAATATTCTTTACATCGCGTGCCTTGCGAAAACTATTCATGATAGAATAAAATAATGTACTACGACTTTGTAGAGCACATTATTATGTATTTACAAAAAGTATCGCAACTGCATAATATGTCTAACTATTATAGTTATGCGCAATAAGTTTTTTTTTTTATTTGAAAAAATAAAACAACGTCAAATATCGTTGAAATGTTTTGTTAAAGACCCGAGCGGAGCCGGAGCGGGCCGCTAGTACTAGGCTGCACTAAAAGTATCGGGAATGGAATATTTCCACTGTTCCTGTCATATTAAAATCTTTTTAATTGAAAACTCCTTGGTTTTAAAAATCGAATACCATTTATTTATTTAAAAAAAGATTCTCGGTCTTGTCACGAGGTTTTGTCAAACTTGTTTAGTCGTTGAGAAAATGGAATTGACTCGAGAAAATTCAAGAGCGATGATTTATTATGACTTTCGAAGTGGTTTAACACAAAAACAGTGTGTTGACCGGATGATTTCTGCATTTGGTGATGAAGCCCCATCCAAAACCACAATTTATCGCTGGTTTGCTGAGTTTCAACGTGGACGTGTCAAGCTCAGTGATGATCCCCGTCAAGGTCGTCCAAAAACTGCAGTCACCCAAGAAAACGTTGATGCTGTGCGTAAGCTGATTGAGGAAGATCGACATGTGACATACCGCGAAATTTAGGCAACTTTAGACATTGGCATGAGTCAAATACAAATAATCTTGCATGAACAATTAGGTGTAAAAAAGTTGTTTTCCCGATGGATACCGCATTCGCTCTGTGAAGAGCAAAAAGCGGCTCGCGTTACTTGGTGCGTCAGAACTCTCG